AATGCATTGACAAGCTGAACACACTCGGTAGGATCAATCAGGTGTACCTTTTATATATTCCGGGACATACTGGTATCCATGGTAATGAAATGGCAGACAAACTTGCGAGAAGAGGCGCGGCATCAAGAATGATAGGACCAGAACCATTATGAGGTCTAGGTAAAGGAGCTCTATCCATTATTATGAATGACGCAGAGAAAAAAGAGAGAGAACTCTATTGGGTAATGCTACCAAGACTCTCACAATCTAAAATGCTTTTAGGGACTTACAATCTAAAAGGCTTTAAAGATTGTATAGTACAATCGAAAACTAACATAAGAATTATTACGGGATTACTGACCGGTCACTGCAGATTGAATAATCACCTAACGAAGTTAAAAATTCAATCCAACTCAGACTGCAGATACTGCAGGGAAGAGAGAGAAATGGCATACCATGTGCTTGGGGAGTGCCCGGCACTGATGCATAAGCGAAAGAAACACCTAGGAGGGTATTTCGTGGATCATAAGGATTCAAGACTGGGAAAAATAGGATCCATACTGTCTTTCATTAAAGAAATCGGACTTGGAGAAATACTCTAACCCGACAAAGGGGCACAATACATCTTTTAGGTTGCAGTGCACGATCCCTTACTCAATAATAATAATAATAATTTCCTTTAATATTTAATTTTTTAAAATTAAAAAACAAACAAAAAACTAAATTTGGCTGAACAAAATTATTGGCACAGCTAACGTAAAAATTAAAAAACAAATTAAAAAGAAATATTTTCAATAACAATTAATATTTAGTTGCCAAGCTTTTCTATTTAATAATAACTACTATTTGTTTTAGAATCGAAGAAATCTACTTTTGTGTGGTTTTTGGTCCAAAATATTGCCACTCTTCAGCAGTGCTTCCTTCAGTTCTGCCTTTGTTGATATAGTGGGCTTCTTTGGACGTCTATCCAATTCTATATTTGCACAACCACAGTCACAGATATCAGGAAATGCAAGATTAATATTAAAAAATAAAGTTATAAGCAGTTGGAATGAACTTAAGACTCAACTCAAACAGAAATATAAAGATAGTGATAGTACACTAGCTGATATCTACTAGACAAGGGGGACGAACAGTTAGGCAGTTCCAATTATTTATGGAAACCACCATATGTCTAGAAAATTGGGAGCAGATGTGAAAATAGAAACGCAAGAAGCTAGTATTAGAGAAGCAGTTTATAATTATATTGAAACTACGATCGTTTTAAATGCGTTCATAAATGGCCTAGATGGAGGAATCGGCCAATACGTGAACAATTGTCGTCCACAATCGTTGTCATAGACTGGAAGATTTGCACAGGATGAAGAATCCAGAATAAGTTACAGACAAAGTGTGAGACGAAATTTCAGTGTTAAGGTAACACACATAAAATGCTACAATTGCGGAAAATTAAGACATATCGCTTCAAAATGTACCATGAACAAGGAACAAACTAATAGAACTGGAGAAAAAATTATGAAGTGTTATAAATGTGGCAAAATAGGACATTTTGCAAATAAATATTATTCAGAGGTAATACAAAAGAATGTTTCTCCGGAAGGAAACAAAAATTTTCGAAAATAGAAAACGTAACTAAGGCAACGTTTTCCTTAAATGTACGTAAAGAAAGTCCTTATATAATAATAGATCATACAAAATGTTGTTATAAATTCCTTATAGATACCCGAGCTAGTATTAATCTAAATGCATTTAGGTTTAATGTAGAAGAAATGAATAATATTAATAATATAGAATTAGTTGGTACAGGCGAAAAATCTGAAAATGCATCCATTAGAATAGTAATTAAGAATATAAAAGGCAAAACACATAATTACAGATGGAAATTTCACGTGATACCAAATGATCTGGTTTACGGATATGATGGCATAATCAGAGCTGATTTTTTTAGGCCATTTTAAGTGCAAGATAGATTATGACCAGTATTTATTTTATGTTGATAAAAATGTACATAGTCTCCAATGTAATAAATTTGAAGAATTTGTTCCGCCAAGAATGGAAGTCTTTCGTTCTGTTAAGGTTAATAAAGGTAAAAGGAATGGATTACATGTGTATGTTCCGCGTTACGAAGATGAAAAAATTGTCACACCTCATTGTATTAGTACAATGAGAAATGGAAAATGCTTAGTAAGCATTATAAATAAATGTGAGGAAAAGGTTGTGGTTGATTTTCCGTTGAAGGTAGAAGATCTTAGGAATTATAATATTGTTGACAATTGTAGAGAGGATCCTAAGAAAGAAAAATTAATGAAAGAAAGAGTGTTCCAAATAAGAAATAGGTGTGAATATACACAAAGAAGTTTAAGAGTTGATCATATGAATAATGAGGAAAATGAATCAATTAGGAAACTGATTTCAGAATATAGCGATTTGTTCATTTTAGAAGGAGAAAAATTGAGCTTCACTGATACGTTAACTTGTGACATACAAACACAAGAAGGAATAAAACTTATTTATACGAAACCATATAAATATCCACAAGTTCATGAAGAGGAAGTGAAGAACCAAGTGAAGAAATTGTTAGAAAAGATGTTATACAGAATTATAAGTCACCGTGGAATTCACCTGTGTGGATGGTTCCGAAAAAGAAAGATGCTTCTGGAAAAACTGAGTGGCGAATAGTAGTCGATTTTAGAAAACTAATGGAAATAATGATAGCGGATACATATCCAATACTAAGTATTAACCAGATTTTAGACCAATTATTTTACAACACTTGATCTAACAAATCGATTTCATCAGATTAAAATGACTAAGGAGGATAAGGAGGGCATTATGAGTTTAAGTAAATGTAATAGTTTTTGCGTAATTCGCAAAAACGTTAATAACTTAAGGTGCATTCGATATTTTTGCATCTTTTGATTATTTATTTCCAACGTCGCTTTCAGCTTGACACAATTAACACAATTAACGCTTTCAGCTTGACACAATTAACTGAAAATCAGCATTTCTTACCGACAAGCTGACCTTGGTTACTGCTATTGGGCAAGCTGCAAACGACACTGCCTACTTTTAGGCATGCCTTATGTTGGAATATACATCAGAACGTTCTTCATAGGTTGAGCCTTTCGACTCACAAGAGAGTGAGCTATTTCATCACATTCTTTACGAATGTGTCCCAACGACGTTCCCATGCGTTCCAAATATATTCCAAATGCAAAGAAATACATTGAACATACCCTAAATAAAAGCTCTTCATCGCATTTTGACAGTTTGAGAAAGCTGTTTTTGACATATTTACAAGAAAAGGTAAACAAATATTTGGTGGTTGCATATTCTTGAAAACGATGCACCTCTTTTTGGAACTTCTGCTTCCCAAAAAGTATTTAATCGAAGTTAAAAATATGTTTTATGTTTATATTCCAAGGTTTGAAGACATATTTAACCTTCACGTAAAATTTTTTTGGCACAGGCTAAAAATCATATCAACAGTCAAGTTGAAAAATCAGCTGTTTGAAATGAGAACAAAAGAATTACAACGAATTTAACACCTACAGATGGCTCATTCAACATGAGCCATTTTCGGCCATTGTAAACGCCATGTTACGTTCCTAGATTAGGTTCCATACATAAGAAAGAATATACAAATAATGCAACAAATAATACCTCTATAAACAGAATAGTATTGGAATTTAAGAATTAAAAATAAAAATATAATTAATTAATTCAATTATTTTACAACTGGTTTATAATTTCATTTTAATATAAAAACACATCAAGTGAATTTGTTAAAAAAAATAATTTTTACAGCAAATTAACAAAAAACTCCAGAAAAATGTACAAACATGAAAGTCAAGTACGGCTTTATGTCAATTGGTTACGAGTCGCTGACTTTGAGCTTCAACTTTGGGAGGGCACGAGTTTAATTTCTGGTACTTTCAGTGTGATTTCCTGATGTTTGTGCAACTAATTTCTATAAATTTGGACCATACAATTATGGCAAAAAACAGCAAATCACTTATAATATGCGCTAAGCGAGATATCAGTATCACTCTGCAATCTGTCAAAAGTTATATATTCGCAAAGAGCAAATCTTGCACATGGGCATATAATGCAAGAAAATTAAATTTTGTAAAAAAATTAATAACAAAGCCAATATTAAAACTTTTCCTTTTACAATAAAATTTAAAGTAGTTTAAAATATATATGTATTAATAAGTGTCAACTTGTACACAACGAATAAGTTAAAAATTTTAAACTGCTTTTTAATTATACTTCATTTACGTACTCTTAAAAAGTTTTGTATATTTGTATGTAAGTATTTAAATGATATATTTTCCACAATTTTGTATATTTTTAAAATTTTCAAAGTTGTGACACTTTTTAATTGTGCTTAAATATTTGTTTACAATCGTTTTACATATGACTACAATATTCGTTGAAATTTTCAATGATGGTTCACAATAGCTAGTTTATTGCGTTGGTGATATTTTTTCCTGTAATTCCTAAAATATTTAGCCACTTCACGGCTTGGTGCTTAGAAAGAGAAAGTAGTATTGTTGTTTTGAGTGGATTTTAGCAACTTTACGCGATCTAGCTGTCGAAGGCACTTTTTATATTATTTATTGACAAAATAAAAAACAAAATCGTTAAAATAGCAGTAAATAGTTATAAGATATTTGCAAGAAAAATAAAATAATTGTGAGTACTACTTATTTAGCAGTGACTATTGTCGTTAGAAGAGTATAAAACTTACATAAATGATTTTATTCACAATCTCATAGTACAAATATGTATAATTATATATAACACTTATTTATAAAATTCAACCGCAAATTCGTTTGAATTTTGTTTTAGTTGTCATATGTTAACTGGTTTATGCAGTAATGCCAAGTTATTCTTATATACCAAAAGTTGCTCTATTGGAGCATTCATGTCAAAAAATGCATCTATTTACATGCAAATGTACTCTTTGCTGGAAAACCAACTTGATGTTACTGTCAAAGTTGTCCGTTCTTATTACGTGTTCTTTGCTTAAAAGTGCTTCACTGTAACTGCATTAACAGAATTCACCAAATATTGTGATTTACTAATATGCCTCTTTATGAGACTGTGATGCAAGAAAAACCGCCAATTGTTTTTGACGTTGGAACTGCTTACACAAAGTAATGTAAAAACCTTAAGAAATCAGTAAATTTATTAAATACTTCAATTTGTTTAGATTCGGGTTTGCTGGCGAAACATGTCCAAGAAAAATAGTCCGATCGGAGGTGATATGTTTGGCAAGTAAAGTTACTAAACCTCTCTTTCAATATGAGGACAGCTTAGAATTTTATGATCAGATTGTAGATTTTTTGCAAATGATATTTTTTAAGTAAGTTAATTATAAGTTAAAGCTGATAAACAAGTATTTATATTTTGATTTCTAGATACTTGCTTGTAAGCCCCAAAGATCGTAAATTTGTTATCGTTGAAAACGTTTTTGACCAAACTGAAGTACGTGATGCACTGGTACGAATACTGTTTCGACACTTTGAAGTTTCATCAGTGCTCTTCGTTCCCACACATATTATGGCAATTTCAACTCTTGCAATATCGAGTGGTATTGTTATTGATATAGGTTACAGTGAAACTAATGTTATGCCGATTTACAGTGGCGTTCAAATTTTAAAAGCGTTCCAAGACCAGCGATATGGCGGTCAATTAATACATAAAGAAATAAAGCGCCAGTTAATAAGCATTGGTGTTAAAGAAAATCTTCTATCCGAAAAAGTTTTGGAAGATATTAAGATTAGAACATGCTTTGTGACTAATTTTGCGCGTGCGCAATGTTACCGTAGCAATCAAAAGCTTGAAGTGCCACCGAATATTGAATATTCTATAAATGGAACTCAAATCATAACTATACCTGGGTCCTTAAGAGAAACTGCATTTGAAATTCTATTCGAGACAAGCAATGAGCGGGACAATTTACCACACTTAATACTACAATCGATTTTAAAGTGTCCACTTGACGTGAGAAGAGAATTGACCGAAAATATATATGTTATTGGTGGGAGTTCTATAATAATGGGCTTATTACCGAGGTTGAAGGATGAGTTAAACTTTTTAATTGAAACTGACTATCTATATACGGATAAGTTGTATGGTAAAATTCAATTCAAATTTCACAAAACAATTGGCTGTCAAAATTTTTGTGCGTGGTTGGGTGGTTCATTATGTGGAGCTACAGATTTGATACAAACGCGGTCTTTAACAAAGGAAGCTTTTTTTAAAACTAATCGCGTTCCAGATTGGATTTGTTTAGCTGATAATCGATTAACAGGAACATAAAAAATTGTTTTAGGAAAACATATTTAAACTGTTACGAATTGTTGATTTCCAAATATATCTACTTGAATCTGAAAATAAAATATATAGAGTTTGTCAAGTATGAGTTTACACATTTAAAAAAATTGAAAATTTCAACTTATTCAAAAAAGGACAACTTTTTGTTTTAGAATATATGTCTTTTATTATATATATTTGTTAATTACTATATTGGGAATATAACCATAAAAGGAAATTATAAAATTATTGAAAGAAGAACACAAAATATGACAAAAACAAATTGTACATAATTTTTTGATTGTCAAGTAACTGTTTACACAACTTGTGTTTTTCCATTATTTTGCATTATTTAAAAAATGATGTGCGGTAAATTTACATTAATTGGCGCCTTGCGTTGATTCTTGTCTGAGGTTTCTAATTTTTTCACTTTACTAACTAAAATGTCAATGTTTTCAAATGTAAAATGAAACATTATCGTTTGGAATGGAACAGTCCAGGTATTATAGCCCCCTAACTTGGGGAAAAGGGTGCCGAAACTATGTGATATATTTTACTAATATGTAGGGCTATTTATAATATTTTAAATCTAGCTGAATACAAGAGTAAATTAGAGCCAAAGTATAAAATTATCGTCAAGACCAACTTTCACAGCATATGCAGAATATGTTATCATGAGCAAAATATGAAAAAACCGGGAAAATTTGATTTGGGTCTATACTATGGAACTTTGGGTCTATATTAAAAAAACAAAAAATAATATAAAGATGCTTCTTTATACTTAGCTCCGGTAATGTTTCCCAATGCTTCACTTGGCGAGTCTATCACGAACTCCGATGACTTCAAGCGTCGATCACTAACTGCCTCTTCTAAGTAAATGCGTCTTCTTATATACGCATCAGACCAAACTTTAACGTAACGCAAAGTTTAGTTTACAGCTGGCTTGGATTTTTGACGTCGTTGCTGTTTTGCGCTTTCGCCGTAGTTAATATGCGCGCGCATCAATTTTTACACAAAGCTCTTTGCACAAAAGCTGTTTTTGACGTTTCTTGTGTTGTGCATTTGTTTTGTTTTGAAACGTGTTTAGCTTAGTGTCGGTAGTGGCGGCTTTAAATATTTATACTTATTTTTTAGAATAAAATAAATATTAAAAAGTATTAGTTTAAATAATAAATAAATAAGGTAGGTACAATATTTATTTATTTGAATATATTTTACATTTTCTTAATTTTTTGATGTAATCTTAGGTTTAATTCATTGTGATGCTGTTGTGTGCATGCGGGGGTGGCTTTTAATAAGTTATTTACCTTAAATATATTATATAAAAATTAACCAATTTTTTTTCAGGTATTAACTGCACACTAATTATATGTAGGTTGGAAATTGGTAAAAATTTCCATCCTTACAAGTATAACAAATTTAAAATATTTACATTTTTATTTATTTCATTCACACGTGTTTTTTCCACTAATTAAAGTGTTAACTATTGTTTTTAAAACAATAGAAAAATGAAAGGAAACCAAATTCTGAAATGAATGGGATTCCTAGAATAAGTTAAAACAAACTTTTACAATTATGTACAGGTAAAACATTGCTTCATTTTTATTGTAACATCTGCACAATTATAAACTATTATTAGTTCATTAATTGAAGCATGAAGGACATTTCTATCCTAATTATATAAAAAAATTAAATTATAATCTACGCAAATTTTATATAAAAGCAGTGAATGTTTGAAAATAAAGACTTTGAAGAATTGATATCATAACGTAAGGTTGTTTTTTATTTAGTTAAAAAAGAGTTAAAAATTTAGAATTTACCATTTGGTTTATTTTGCTCATGCCCAATTCTATTTATATATTTATTTTACTCATTAAAATAAAAGTTTTTTATTATTTATTATTTACTCATAAAATAACTTATATTGATTTCCGATAATTTGTGCAGCAAACAAATAATGCGATTTTTACATTTAAATCAACATATGATACGCAATTCTTTTCTTTGTTTTGCTCATTTTCGCACTTTTTGTCATTAAAAATGCCATGGTTGCCAAAATTTAACAAAACAAATTTGAAACTGTTGTTGTTCCCAAAACTGCTGTCTCCTAAGCAATTCAGAATAAGGGAGTTGTGTGTTTGGGAACAGCGTGGGAATAGGGAGTTTTGTTCCCTGGGAGTATTCAGAATAGGCCTGTATATTGTTGCTGCTTCTTATATAACAAAGTTTACGCATTTTTTGAATGTGTAACTCATACTTGAGAAACTTTATGTTGCAGTATCAGCTTGGATTTAGTCTAATTGTTGTTGTAGCCTGCACAGAAATGCGAACTAGATAACGCAAATATATAAGTTGGGATGTAGATGGGTCATTGTTGTGTGCAATCAATAGAGATTATTTGAAGAGAATTGGGGACAGGTGGGATTTAAATTGAAATGAACGAGGATCAAGTCGTAGTAATTTTGCCGCTTCTAAGAGACAGGTGCAAAGCTGGATCGGACTCAAGTTTGTGTGTGCGATTGGGAACGCATTACAAGTTGTACGAACATCAACTACTTAACATATGGCTTTATCCCAATTTAAATTCAGTTCTGACAGGACTTGCTCCTTATAATTATTATATTATGTATTATATATATATAATATAATATAATAATATATATATGTAGAAAAGTTATTTGTTAATTTATAAAATTATTTATTAATTTAATATAGAAAATTATTCATCAACACTGATAAGGTTACTTTCACAAAGTTTATAAATTTATAATTATTCAAATCGAGAAAAATATAGAAAATTATTCATCAACACCGATAAGGTTAATTTCAAAAAGTTTATAAGTTTATAATTATTCAAATCGAGAAAAATATAGAAAATTATTCATCAACACTGATGAGGTTAATTTCAAAAAGTTTATAAGTTCATAATTATTCACATCGAGAAAAATATAGAAAATTATTCATCAACAGCGATAAGACACCAGCTTAACTTCTTATTAGTACACCAGCTTAACGACGACTACTTTTCTCTTGCACTCAATACTCGCAGCTAGCCCTCTGCATGCAAACTCGTTTAAGTGCATACTTCACTGTTTACAATCGGCCATCCTGAATGTCGTCTGTCCCAGGCGACTCCTTTCACTATCTTCATAAGTCGCCCATCTTTTCATATAATCTGCAGCTGTCGATGTTGTATTTGGACCCTCATGATCACCTACTTTCCTTACATCGTATCTTTCATTTTGCTTCACCTTCGTCACCTCATATGGACCGAGATATTTTGGACAGCACTTTTGACCAACTCCGAACTGAGTGCGTTGAATAGCTACTAGATCACCCAACCTGTATATTGTTGCCAATTTACGTCTTTTACCATATTGATTTCGGTTTCCACCTTGTATCTTAAGAATTTGTTGCTTTGTGCTGTCACGCATCTCTTTTCTTTTATGTTCAAAATCACTAATAATTGCTTCTTCAATCATGCTATTTAATTCTAAGTCCTCCGGTGTAAACATTTTAAAACCAAATAGCAGCTCAAAAGGTGTTCTCTTCGTACTCCTTGTTACTGTGGAATTAATTATTTTTTGTAACTTACTTACATGAATGTACCATTTCAGCGGATTTTCCAGTGACATCTTAGTTTGTACTTCAATAGTTATTCGGTTTATACGTTCTACTTGCCCGTTTCCTCTTGGAACTCCGGTTGTCACAGTATGGTGATGAACATGATTAGCAGCGCAGTAATTCTTGAATGCGTTAAGGTAAGTCCACACCTAAGCGAACGCTTGCGAACGAACGTTCGCACAAATGCATGCGAATTATTTTAGGTGTGGACGGGTAAAAAACTTTATAGGAAACAAAGCGAACGAACAAAAATTTGTAAGGTGGTCTACACGATGAAACAATTGCGAGCGAACGCATTTGTAGAGTTTGGTAGTGTTCCGATGCATTTGCGTTTGCTGTAAAATTTGTACCAATTCGTTCGTTTGGTCGATTGTATTTGCTGTTAGATGTGGACGAATATTTTGTATGAAAAGAAATATTTGTTTGCGTTCGTGAATGTTCGCTTAGCGATGGAACAATGAACGAATGTGTTCACATATTCTATATTATTAGTGTCTAGTGTCTTATTTAAAATACTTTTATATTTACAAATCAATATGGAATGGCGAGATAATCGCGTTTTTCAATTAATTGAACTGTACAGGAATAAAGAGTGTTTGTGGGACTGTACAAGTCCTAATTACAAAAATATTAAAATGAAACACGATGCCTGGACAGATATTGCTCATGATATGGAAATAGATGTGAACGACATAAAGAAAAAAATGAATTCTTTATTATCGTCTTTTCGACGCGAGCGGAAGAAGCAAAAAGAAAAAAAGTCTGGAAGTGCTGCTGATGAGCAATATAAGTCCACGTGGTTTGGCTTTAAAGCTATGGAATTTCTGTTGGATAAATTCCAACCAAAAAACGTTACTTACGTTGGTTTACAAGAAGTATGTATTCATTTATATATTACCAATATTTATGTAAAATCGTTTTGTAAATTTTTGGATTTTTATTGTTTATTCTTAAACCTGACTTAGTATTTACAAGTAATTTTTTAATAGTATTAAAAAATAAGCTTAATAACGTAATTTATTTAATAAAGAAAATCTACGCATAATAATCCTGCCAAGGAATTTTTCCTGCATCCATAAAGTATTCTCCATACAGCTTTCTAATATCTTCACCTTGAGCTGGAGGCTTTCTAGCCACTTTTCGTAAAGATTTAAAAGAATTGCAATCGTTAGTGTCTGTTCTCCAAGTGCCTGGAGTAACAATGCCATCACATTCACTGTCAAGTGTCCCCGGAGGGTTATACAAATGTTTCGAAGAACTGCTTGACCGTAAAAAATTGTGAAGATGTATACAAGCTAAAACTATAATAGATGCTTTTTCTGGCTGTAATTGAATAGGTTTTCTTAAAACACGAAAAACGCTGGACAAAACTCCGAATGTGTTTTCAACGACTGTACGAGCTCTGGAAAGTCTATAGTTGAAAATACGCTCTATTGAGCCTTTATCGTGTTTTCCGCTGTAGGGCTTCAAAATATTTGGTTTCAGTGGAAAAGCATCATCAGCAACAAAAACAAATGGTACTTTGTTTGTGCTCCCAGGCAACGTCATTTCTTTTGGTAGTCCCAAAGTTTCATTTTTAAAATGTTTGTAGAAAGCGCTGTTATTAAAAACGCCGCCATCTGATATTCTTCCTTGGCAACCTACGTTAGCATATAAAAATTTATATTCTGCATCCACAATACCCAGAAGAACAATACTAAAAGAAGATTTGTAGTTGAAGTAATCGCTTCCTGAATGAAATGGAGCTTGAAGAACACAGTGCTTTCCATCTATAGCTCCGATACAATTGTTGAAGTTCCATTTCTGTTCAAAAACTTTAGCAACAGCGCACCATTCTTCAGGAGAAATAGGCGTCTGAAAAATTGATTTTAAAAGAAATATATCTGTATTAGAAAACATCATTAGATAAAAAGTAAAAGTCTATAAAAAATATATTAAAATTTTAACAATATTTCACAGCTTTCAACTTGTGATTCTAATCCAATCCAAGATCAAACACTGAATGATATCGAAATTTCCGTGGAGGATAATGCGAACCGAATTTTTAAGTCACCCAAAAAAGCGCCATCAAAACGTAAGCACAACGAAAACCCGAAGATAGAAGAAGCTTACAAGATATTGAAAGAAGCTGTTGCGAAAAATGATGATTGCGCAGTATATGGAGATCATATTGCGCGTAAATTAAGGACATATTCGAAAAGGACAATGAACGTCGTACAGCACAAAATAAATAATATTATATTTGATGCTGATATGGGAGCGTTTGACATGTTTCCAAATACATCTTCCCCGTTGCCGTCACCATTGAATCAAACAAATGATGCTACAGAACCGCAAGTGTTTTTGTTTACACAAAGTGATGTTGCCGAAAATATTCAATTATGTGGTCAGCAAGTGCTGTCATCATCCGATCCACTTTACGATAGTGGAGCAGATTATTAAATATTATATAATAATATTAATATAGTTATATCAATAATTATAATTTTTTATCAGTTTACTTTGAGTTTAGCTTTTGACATACAGTTTTTAATTAATGTAGTTTTAAGTTTAGCTTTTGACATACAGTTTTTAATTAATATAGTTTTAAGTTTAGCTTTTGACATACAGTTTTTAATTAATATAGTTATATCAATAATTATAATTTTTTATCAGTTTACTTTAAGTTTAGCTTTTGACATACAGTTTTTAATTAATATAGTTTTAAGTTTAGCTTTTGACATACAGTTTTTAATTAATATAGTTTTAAGTTTAGCTTTTGACATACAGTTTTTAATTAATATAGTTATATTAATAATTATAATTTTTTATCAGTTTACTTTAAGTTTAGCTTTTGACATACAGTTTTTAATATAATTATACTTGTATAATAGCTTTAATTATTAATAAAGTTATTGATTTGAATTAAAATCTTACCTTCACATATTCTTTCAATGCTTCGAGCAAAGCCGAACAAACTTCAGGTACAATTTTGGATATAGATTGCTTCGATATTCTAAATAAATACTCCAAGCTGGTAAATGAATCCCCAGTTGCCAAAAATCTGAGGGTGACTGCCAGTCTTTCTGCTGGAGTTATACTTTTTCTAAACTTTGTATCTTCTTTCGATATTTTAGAAGATATCAATTTTAAAATCTTATCGAAGTCCATTTCAGACATCCGACAGAAGTTATGAAAGCGTTTAACATCCAGTTCTTTAAAAAGCGGTGTGCATATACAATTTCTTTTATTCAGAAACTCTGACATCCAACATTTACGCTTTTTTTTGGAGCCCTCAGATATAACTATGAAAGCAGCACTAGCTATAATCACGTTATTGCTCATTTCTTTATATATTATTATATTTATATTTTATATACTTTATATATTATATAATAGATTATGTAATATAATTACACACACGACTAATCACGATTGTTGCATAAAAGAAAACATCAAATGAACGAACATTCGTTTGCATGTCATCTACGCACAAATGTACAATAAATTTGTACGAACGTTCTATTGCGTTTAGTAGACGTCCAGATTACATAGCAAATGTAAGCGAACGAACGATCAAACTCTACTCAAATTTCTTGCCGAACGCAAATCCTTCCGAATGCTAACGAACACTACAAATCGAATCGTTCGCGTTTGCTTTGCCGTCCACATTACCTGCGAATGTTCGTTCGTTCGCAAGCGTTCGCTTAGGTGTGGACTTACCTTTAGAGGTAAATGCAGTTCCTTTATCAGTTATTATACGTCGTGGATTTCCGAATGTGTCATTTAATAATGTCAGCTTAGTAATTACCTCTTCTGTTGTCGTAGACTTAACTGGAAATATCCAAACAAATTTCGTAAAGGCGTCGACTACGACTAGCATGTATTTGTATGATTTTGTAGTTGACGGCAACGGTCCTAAATGATCGAGATGAAGGGTATGCAGCGGTGAATCAGTTTTATCTATTGGGTTAAGGAATCCTTGCTGCTTTCCATTTTTTTTAGAAGCAAGAATGCAGGTCACATAGTTTGCAATTATTCTTGCAGCATACTTTTTAGCTTTCGGAATATAGTACTCTTAATTTAATACCGCTACTACTTTATCCGCGTTCCAATGTCCCTTCTCATGTATTTTCAGAATTATATCTTTATTCATTGATTTTGGTACAACTAACAAGTGTCTGCCTTCATTAAATTTATATAGAACACCGCAACGTAGTTGAAAATTTTCATACGGTTCATTTTTCAGCAAACGACTGATAATCTGGCATGACTCATCTTTTAATTGTGCTGTTCTAACCATGTGTATAATGCTGTCTTCTAATCTGTATACAGTTGGATATCTGCTTAATGCATCCACGTGTCGCATTGCATTGCCGGATCGATGACATACTTTACAATCAAACTCTGATATCTGCATAGCCCACGCAGCAACTCTACTGTTCAGTGCTTTCTTTGCCATTGTTAATTGAAACGCCTTGCAATCTGTAAATATTTAAAATTTTAACCCAAGTAAATAAATTGTGAACCTTTTCAACGCCTTAATTATTGCCAAAACTTCAAGGTCGTAGCTACAATAATTTTTTTCAGCAGCTTTCGTTTTATAGCTTAAATAAAATACCGGGTGATAATTTAAATTGTGTCTTTGCATCAATATAGCGCCATATCCCTCCTTGCTTGCATCAGTATGTAGCTGAGTTTGTAGTTAGGGGTTAAAAAGTTTTAAAACTGAGTTGTCACAGAGGTGACTCTTCAGAGCAACGAATGCATTTTCTTCAGCAGAGTCCCATTTGAACGTAACATTTTTCCTGGTTAGGTCCGTTAACGGCTTTGCTAGAATTGCATAATCTTTCATGAGCTTACGGAAAAATTGGGTTAATCCTAAAAAGCTCATAACCCCACGTAAGTCCTTTGGTTTTGGAAAATTCTTGACTGCTTTTGTTTTCTCTTCGGAGGGACGGACAGAACCATTTTCAATGCTGTGTCCCAAAAACTCAATACTTTTACTTAAAAACGTACACTTATTCCACTTGATTAAAAGTCCATTTTTTTCACAAATGTTAAAAACTATTTTCAGTTTGTTCATAGCATCTTCGTCATTGCGTGCTGGAATAACTAAGTCGTCCATGTATACTAGTACTACACCTTCTCTTATGGCGTTCTGGAAAATTGTGTTTATAAATCTCTGAAAGGGTTTCCTTTTTAATGACACTGGCATCTCAAAATCAAATCCGAAAAGAATTCTTGTGGGCGTTTGCCTGGTAGCTGAGTGTATGTGATTGTTGTGGACATGCATGGCGTGATGGAGCCATTCATCCCAATTCGTTCCATCCTCTGCTACGAAGCATCCTCTACAGGGGGCTCCTCCTGGTGGCCCCCTACCCCCGTATCATGAAATTGCTTCAAAACTCTTTGTACTTCCTCTGGGTCCGTTAATAAAATAGCCTCATCTCCACCCCCTATAAAGTCCTCTATCATTGGTATTGGTGGATTGATCGACCTTGGGTTATTTTCCTTTGTATTCTTCCGCATCTGTGCCCTCGTTTTTACCGCAAACTTTCCCGGAATCCTGCTTAGCGCATCTGCATTTTGATTTGTCTTCCCTGCCTTATAACGAATTTCGAAATCGAGTTCAAGCAATTTTAAACTAAATCTCCCTAATCTCGAACCTTGATCCTTTAAATTAGCCATGCCTCTCAAAGTTTTATGATCAGTGTAAACCTCCTCTCGGCCGGATTCAATGCACGACTTGCGTAGTACACCGGTAAATCCTTATCTAATTCGCCTTGTGATAATACCGCATCTAGCGCAGCGTTACTCGCGTCTGTTGTAAGATTAAAAGGTAGGGCGAAATCCGGAAACTGAAGTACTGGGGGATTAGTTACCGCCGCCTTAAGTTGTTTCATCCCGGTTTCACGTTGTTCGAACCACTGAAATTTGACATTCTTCCGTAATAAATGATGAATTTCCTATAATAATTAATTAGACCAAGGAATGCTTGTAATTCCTTTACGTTTCTTGGTGCGGGTATGTCTTGGACGCATTTCACCTTTTCTGGGTCAGGTTCAACCCCCTTTTCTGAACACTTATGTCCCAAGTAATCCACTTCCCGTCTCAAGAATTTACACTTCCCAGTTTGTAGTTTTAATCTATGCTTCTTAAGTACACCGATAAGGACTTAAGTCCATGAATAACGATATCATCTAGATACACAAAACAGTCCATACCTTGGAGGCCTATCAAAATGCTGTTAATTATCCGCTGAAAAGTCGCGGGGGCCCCCGATAGACCAAACGGCATACAAACAAATTCATAGTGACCTGTCTGTGTACTGAAAGCCGTTTTCTCCCGGTCCCCGGACTCCACTAATACTTGATGAATAGGGAACACCTGCTTTTGGGTTCTCTCATTTATCTTCCGAAAATCAACGACCAGTCTCCACTTCTGGTTGCCGTCCTTGTCGCCTTTCTTAGGCACCAGTAAGATGGGCGAGTTCCATGGTGATATACTTGGAGCTACAATTCCCTTCTCCAACATCTCGTCTACTTGTCTCTTTATTTCATTTTTGTGGGCCTCGGGAAGGCTGTATTGCCTAGTATTTACTAAATTTGTTCCAGGACCCATCGGTATTTTGTGTTTCAATACCGTAGTATAAGATAGGTCCTCGCCCTCCAGGTGAAATATTTCCGGAAATTCCCTGACTATACTCTCTAGCGACTTCCTTTCTTCTGGATTAAAATAGCTACTAAAGCCAATTTCATCAAATATCTGCTGAAGTCGCCCTGATTCACCATGATAGGGCCGTAGGTTAGCCTTACTAGTATGTATTTCTCCTACCAGGGTAGCTTCATTATCTACCAGGCTCCAATCCTCCAGGCTCCAGGCTCTCGAACCATGTTCCCACCCCAATCGCACCTGGTATTCGTTCACAATCAGGACATGTACCACACCAACCCTCTCTTTGAAGGTAGTTAACGTACCTCCAATGTAGACTTGAGGAGGAATTTCCGCTTTGTCAACCACCATATCTCCGTCCGGAATATTTGCTTTGATTCGCACTATCATTGTGGACCTGGGAGGGATTGTCACTGACTCTGCAATACAAATTTCACTCTCAACTCCATTCTTTATAAGCGGTAAAATCGCTATTCTGGCCTGATTATGAAAAAAACTTAACGATTTAGCTCGCGCATCAATCATTGACCGATTCCACAATTCATCTCTCCCTAGCAACCCATCTGCCGGTATCTCACTTCCCTCCGATACGACATGTGACTTTAACTGTAGATCTGGTTCGTTATTATTTGTAGCGATCACCGTTTCCTCTGTCATAATTCTTCCTCCAAATGCTCCTACGAGCTCTTTTTGCTGTGTTTTATCTATTCCTTCCTCTACCGCCAAAGCTTCGGATTTAACCAAGCTGGTATTCGATCCCGAATCCACCAATAGGAGTAATTTCTTCCCTCTCGTTACATCACATGGAAATTCTATATAAGCATCGTCGCAGTGATGCGAAAACCTTGAGTAAGCGTTAAAGTTAATTCCCTTATCACTCTTACTTCGTAAATTAGCTTCGTCACCGTCTCTTGTATATATGTACCTCTTTGCCCATATATCCTTTACAGCCCGAGCAATTGTATAAAATGTCATACATAGAAAAATCCATAACATGTGTTTATCTTCCATCCAAACATGTTTGAAGACCTTTTTAAAATTTAGTGGTAACGTATATGTTCTCCTCGATCTCCCGTGTAAATTTATTTTATCTAATATAACCGCTGTCTCTACTTTAGTTTTTTTAGGATTATATTTCTTTTGCCCCCATACCTTATCGCCTCCTAACCTATTATTTCCTGGTTCCTTGAAAAGGTTCCCCTTTTTACAAACGATGTCTGGCCGCATTTTACTGGTGTCGCATCCGGTATCCCAGTCTATCGGCCTTGACTGGGCCGGTTTGCGTTTCCCGAACTGGGTGTTTCCCCTCCACAGTCTCTAGCCATATGCTCTACCTGGCTGCATTTAAAACACTTAACCTGAGACATTGCCACATATCTGCCTTGGGTTCCACTGTCTCTCCCTGTCTGAGTTAGCAACCTATCCGAGTTATCGCGACAAATCCTATTTATGTTGTGTCCCCTAACTCTACACACCTGACAAAACAAGGTTCCGAGCCTTTTAAAACAATCGTCTGCAACGTGCCCTGACTTCTTGCAATAACTACAAACCTTGCTTTGCCCAACTGTACCATTAGACTTACGCTCACCACTTTCTCTGCACTTAGGACCTTGCAGTACGGTGTGTTTCCCCTTATGGAGCAATCTGCCCATCCATGCCCTCCTACTCCGCAAAAATTACACTTTAATACCACTTTATGGTCCTCACTGGATACATTTACATTCACCACGTTATCACCAAACAAATCTTCCGCTGACTCCCCAATCTCTATAAGTTGACATAACTCGCAATCCTCCACACCGACGAACCTATGTCTCAAGTTTTTGTCCTTCAACCCTTTAATGAAACATCTGTTAGCTAAACGCCGATATTCGGCCACCTGTGACACTGTTTTATCCGCGGACCATTGTGCGTTTATTATATCTTCTGCTTCGATCAGTAACGACTCTATTCGTGACCCAAAAGACGTTACAGATTCTGTAGTGCGCTGAACGCATCGGTTAAAATCATTACGAATCTGCTCTACAGATCGTCTCTTTAGGTACGCTTTCTTAACGGCCATACACAAATCATTTACTGAGGTGAAACTCTTACCTCCTATACTTTCGTAAGCTGACCCCACCAGTCTTTGCTTAATACAGGTTGTTAGACTAAGAGAGTCTTCGTGTGGCAGTGCCTGTTGAGCCAACTCGCAACCTGCCACGAACTTGTAAACCTCTGATCGCACGTTGGAGCCATTGCCACCCGCAA